CTTGTAGTCTCAGCTACTTGGGGGGCTGAGGCAAGGGAATCACCTAAGCCCAAGAGTTGGAGGTTGCTGTGAGCTGTGACACTACAGCACTCTACCGAGGGAGACATAGTGAGACTCTGTCTCAAAAAGAAAAAAGAAAGGGCAGCCACTTGAAATATGGCAGATGCAATTACTAAACACATTGAAATTTTACTTCACATTTGCCACTGGGTAATCAATGTCTTCTTTCTCTAAGCATAACATATGTTACTATAGTATTTGAAAAACATACAACAGCCTAGACCATACAGCAAGACCTGTCTTTAAAAATTAAAATTAAACAGTGGTTCTCAGCTTTCCTAATGCTGCGGCCCTTCAATACAGTTCCTGTGGGTCACGACCCACAGGTTGAGAACTGCTGTTCTAAGCAATGGCTTGCTAGTGAATTTGTGAAAATCTTTTTCAGGCATGGTTTTCCACACATGCTATTCCAAGTCCTTCTGGTTGACCAGGATGAAAAAGAACATGCATTGATGACAGAGCCTCAGTCATCCTGGTTATTGAACCACCACATACACGTTCCTTAGATGGAGGAAAATCACCACCACCAACAGTGAATGGCTTCCTTGAGTGTTATTTGAGCAAGAAACAATTTTTTGTTGTGTTTAAGTTGTTATGCTCTTCAGGTTCCATTTGTTTTACCAACTTGTGAGAAAATTTCATATAAAACTATGGAAAAAGGGGAGCACCTGTGGCTCAAAGGAGTAGGGCACCAGTCCCATATGCCGGAGGTGGCGGGTTCAAACCCAGCCCTGGTCAAAAACTGCAAAAAAAAAAAAAACTTTGGAAAAGGAATTATGACAATGTATAGTTGTACATTAGCAATGTATACACATTTTAAGCATGGAAAGAGTTGTACTAAAATAGTTATCCTCAATTTATACTGACAACAAAAAAAATTAAAATTAAAAAAAGTTTAGGAGTTTGAGGGTACAGTGAGCTATGATGGCACCATTGCACTCCAGTCTGGTTGACAGATCAAGACCCTGTTTCTTTCTCTCTCTCTCAAAAACACAAGAAAAAACTACATTTAACATAGAAAAAAAGTAGAGTGTGTTTTATTTTTTAAAGATTCCTGTGTACATTTTAGGGCCGTGTGCAGTGGCTCATGCCTGTAATCCAGAACTTGGGAGGCCTAGGCAGGTGCCTGAGTACAGAACCAGCCTGAGCAAGAGGAAGACCCTCCCATGTCTAAAAATAGCCAGGCGTTGTGATGAGTGCCTGTAGTCCCAGCTACCGGGGAGGCTGAGGCAAGAGAGTCACTTGAGCAGAAGAGTTTGAAGTTGCTGTGAGCTATGACGCCAAGGCACTCTAGTGAGGGTGACCAAGTAAGACTCTGTCTCAAAAAAAAATAGAAAAATAAATTCCACCAGAGATACTTTGTATAATTCTTTGTTAATACCAGGAAAATATTGGTATATTGTATCTGCTTACATTTTTCTAGCCATGAGAGTA